GTAAGCTTTATCCAGGAAACACCCCGATGAGGTGGGCTTGACTCGTTTCCCAACATAATCATCCAGCAGTAGCAGCAGCAGCAGAAGCAAATGAGTTTACATTAGATTTGATCATTCGAGAAAGCAACAATACTAGGTTAAATTGAATTCTTTATTGTTATTACATCTGTCCACAAAACATTGTTCACATAAACCATTCAAATATTTTCCAGAGTCAAAATACTCATTTTAATACAATAACTAAATCGCCTTTGATAAAAAAAAATGACTGAAACTAGTCGAAGTTAACATCACTTGAACCATAAAAGATTCAAATGACAACTTCGATTAATTTCAGTCACATTTATTTTACAAGCAGAATAGACACAAGATCTATTACTCTCTTTTCTCTTTTGTATAGGCAACACCATATGCAATGACAACAAGATATAGTCTTCATCGGTTTCGACCTTGCTCAAGGGTCTCATCAGATGGCATTCTTATATATCAAATACATCTTTTGCACACTTAGATGTAATGTGTACACATGAGCAACCATGACCGGTTTTATTTCGTTTTCTCTTCATGTCTTCTCACGGCTCAAAATAGTTAGTTGACTTTTCTAATCCTCAAATAATAAATAAAATATTCATATGTAGAATATGTTCTATACAATACAAAACGCTAAACACAAAGGATCACTAGACAAGAACAAGGTATGGGCTACTACTACTATTCTCTACTTTATACCGGTCGATTATTTATAGCCATTACAATATCTTGTCTTCACCTCAACTACATCGTAATTACATGTTAAATTAAAAATGTTTCTAAAGTATATTCAACATCATTTTCGATTTTTGTTTCATGTTACTCAAATAAACGGCCTAACATGGGATATGAACTATTTTTAATAGAAACAGTACGATTTATTTACCGATAGAAACAACGGAAAAAAACAAGAACAAAAACAACGATAATGTTCGATAACGGGCAAGTGCCAAGATGATCTCTGAAGATGAGGATGATCATCTGTTAAGATATAATCAATATTATGAATTTGAAAATATAATATGAAACAATTATTTTCACTTACTTGAACACAAGAGAGTTGGATTGTTCTCCACAAGTAATACAAGTTAAATTGTGAGGATGGATGGTGATCAAAATAACAATCCTCGTGTTCAACATGGCCACAAGTATAATACAAGATGGCATCATGTCCATCCTGCTTGACTGGAAGACCACATTGACCGCATAATATTTGTGTATGCGCCATTTATTCAATAAATGAAATAGAATAAATACAGTTAATCTGAAGCGAATTAAAAATATTTAGATCGATATTCAGTTCTTAATAGTTGTGTGTGATATGTTTGAAAGATCAATTTCATTTATCATTAATTCCAATGGCTCTACTATTTAGTTCATATTCATATACAACTAATCGTGTCACTCTCAAAACATTAAAAAAACAATTGTGTATATTATCTTTTGCCTTTTATTTTGTTGGATAAAAAAGAAACCGAATGAACACAAATCAACAAAGTTTTATACTGATGAGAACATTCGGTCGTCATGTCGTCGATTTGATGATCTAATATTTGATAACTGATGGCGATACAGTAGAAGCTGATTTCGCTGCTGCTTCTTCTTTTGCCTCATTTTCACCTTGTTTAACTCTTTCTATTGGATTACCATCATAAATCTAAAGAATAAAAGAGATAAATATCAACACATTTTATATTAACACATTCTTGGATTGTTTCTCTGTCTCACTGTGTCTCTCTCTTACCCATTGCCATGGAAGTTCTTCTTCCATATAAACATTAATATACCAATCAATATAATCTTCAATTAATCGTGGATTACATAACCGAGGATTAGGTGGAGTTAACCCTTAGAGTACCAGCCGGGGTCATTTTTGACCCTAACCTGAAAACTTTCAAAATACGTTGAAAATATTTTTTTCTCATATTTTAGAGGCAACTAGTATCATTTAAGAGTAGATTTATATAGTTTCATATAAAAGGGAACATATTTACATTCCATACCAATTCAACTCCTCGATACAAGACCGTGTTTTCAATAGCCATCAAATATATAAGAGAAAGGAAAACACGTAAAAGTTTTCATATATATTCTAATGATTCATTAACTTATCCGAATGGATATATATTTTTTCGTTTCTTTAAAAACATTTTTTGAATGGTTTAGAACTATCCAATCATCACGGAAAATATTTATATCGTTTTGTTGCAGATCAAATACACAATTTGCCTTCCTTTTTGTAGATCAAAGCTTTTTATCAAATAATCCTTATCCAACTGTGTGCACTGTTGCAATTACGATTATGGTCAGTTCGATTGAAGGAGAAAATGATTCTGATTTTCTTGATGAACATCATAGTGGTTCGGAAACACAAGACGGTGAAAGTGAAACATCCGATAATGATGACGAAATCGATTTAGAAAATCATCAACTGAATGATAATTGCACGTGGCAAAGTTCATATAACTTCAGATCTGGTATGACTTGGTCTTCAAATCCGCACCACTTTTCAAAAACAAATTTTTCGAATGATAATACCACAGAAGCTGGACTGATCCAAGTTACTGAAAATATATCACCCATTGAAGATTCATTTCTCTGTTTTATGTCAGAGAAAATGCTTGAAAAACTTTTGGTTTATTCAAACTGCGAATACTCTCAAAATGATACTGCCGCTGAAAAATCAGAAAAAATCACCATTATTGAATTAAAAGCTTTTATCGGGCTTTTATTACTTTCTGGTCTATTAGGCAAATCGAAGATAGAGCTAAAATGTTTATGGAGAAGAAGTCCATTAGAATCTCCCATCTTTAAAGCGATTATGCCAAGAAGTCGTTTTCAAAAGATTATTGCCTGTTTACGATTCGTCGACAAAAAAACACGAGAAGAAAGAAAAAAAAATGATAAGTTTGCCGCACTTCGTGAAATCTGGTCGTATTTTCAAGACAACTTACAAAAGTGTTACATACCAGGATATAATCTTACTATTGACGAACAACTATTAGACTTTCATGGAAAATGACCTTTTCGACAGTATATGTCCACGAAACCTGACAAATATGGATTAAAATTTTGGTTATGTGTTGATGTAGATTCGCACTACGTATTTAATGTATTTCCTTACCTTGATCGACAACCAACGGAAGAAAGATAAATCCAGATAGGTGCTAAAGTAGTTTTAGAATTGCTCAAACCACTTTATGGTTCAAGCAGAAATGTTACAACGGACAATTTTTTTACAAATGTTTCGTTAGCCAAAGAACTTCAAGAAAAGAATTTGTCTCTTGTCGGAACATTGCGAAAAAATAAGCTGAAAATACCTGTGAAATTTCAATCAAATACAAAGCGCAAAGTTGGCTCTTCGCTTTTTAGTTTTCAAGACGGTTTAACTATAATTTCATTTGTACGTAAGTGCAACAAAGCCGTTTTACTACTTTTCTCGAAACATCACGATTGTCAGGTGGACAAAACAATTGGTAAACCAATTGCTATTTTGGATCACCATAAAACTAAAGGAGCTGTTGACACAATTGATCAATTATGTCACAGATATACGGTAAAAAAAGACTTTTTTATACTTCTGCATTTTGTTTTGTATAGGTAAAAAGAAGTACAAAACGGTGGCCACTTTGCATCTTTTATGGAATGATAGACATTGCTGCATAAACGCAATGATCATATGGAAAACAAAGAATCCTCAATGGAATCAAAATACAACACATAAACATCGATTATTTCTCGAAGAACTAGGACTGGCTAAAGTATCGCAACAGTTGGATTATCGCTCAAAAAATGCAAAATTTTTGAACGAAGATATTCAAAATGCATTATCTATCGTTGGTTATCCTGTAATGAAGAGAAATATATCAACCATAAATCAAAATTCGACTCAAACAAAACGAAAAAGATGTTCTTTTTATGAACGTTCTATGAACAAAAAAACATCAATTCAATGCGCTGGTTGTTCTGTATTTGTTTGTAATGAAAATTCTGTTAAACGTATTTTTTGTAACACTTGTTGTAAATAAAGAATGTTATTTTCATAGCTTGTTTATGGGATCGAACCTCAAAGTATCATATTTCATCAGGGGAGTGCTCCAAAGTACAAACAAATATTTTTTGAAAATATATATTGTCAATATAGTACGTAAAATAGGCCGGTACTCCAAGGGTTAATATAATGTTTACATTCCAAATCTGTTAGAAGATTATGTATAATGGCAAAACGGAGATTGGTTTTCTTGTTTTTTGATTTATATTTAAATTCAAACCATTCGATGGTTGATTTACAATTGACATCATCGTCGAATATTTCTAACTCGAAATTATCTGGAGCTTTATTTGGTAATCCAGAATAGACTGCAGAAGTATTCATCGTTTCGATGATACTCATGTTACCTTAACGATCTGTATTTTCTTACTTTCTTTCACCAACTTGTGCAATTCCTTCTTTTCTATTCTGGTATGAGTCACACTAAAGGCTACATTTGTAACCAAACATGACTCATGATGATTTGTTGTAAATATGAATGAAATTGGACACAATCTTGTTATTATTCAAATCAAATTCGCATATTTCTATCAACATTGATATTTCTTCTGATACATATTCTAATTTCGTTATATATCACGCTCAATGATTAAAATGCATTATTAACTCGAAAATGATTACTTTTCAGGAAAATTGATATTTGTTCAATATAATTCAATAACAATTATGTTGTTCATTCAGCTTCCTTGCTGATTGAATGTGATAGATAACTGAATGATTAGAAAGAAGTGTAGCAAGATGGCAGTAGATATTGAGCCTGAAAAAAACGTATCAATGGAAATGTGGAAAAGATGCCAGTATTGAGACTGATCAAGGAATAAAAAAAAGATCTAGAGATAAGGCCGTTTTGCGGTTCAACTTAGAATCGGTTATGAGAAAAAAAAATTTCAAAATGACTTCAAACAATATGTACTTATAGAGTTAAGAGTGCTGATTAAGAATATCACTATAAGAGTTTACTAAACTCTTTTGTTTCGTCAGGAGCTTAGGCTACTTTATAGGATCAAAAACGCTTTTTAGCCTATCACGAATTAGTTTTCATTAGACTCGCTCTTCTGTGCTAGACACTCATAAAATCTGAGAATGACGTAGCGAATTATGAAAAGTTTTTGAATTCTGAGTGCCTTCTGTTGCAATTCGGTTAGTATTTAACAATAAAGATATGAGATTTTGCCAGTTGTCCGAGTTTATAGAACTTTTTGAACTTTTGAACTCATTTTGCTTAAAAAAGTTTCAAACTTTGATCAAGAAAAAACGATGTTCGGGTCAAAACAGTCATCATCTCAAGATACTATGTATGATAGGACTAACGAGGTAAGTCAGAACGCTGAGTATTTGAAAAATCTATGAACTAATACGGGTTTCGAATAGTTTTCGTTGTCATCTGACAGATTATTAGCCAAACAGCAAAAGCTGTTTTATTGATACAATATCGACACATCTTGGTTCCAAGAAGGTATACATCAGCGTCCACCAGCCTTCTCTTTTCGATGGCGAAGATCGCAGCTCTACAGCTGATTTCGTCTCGAGTTATTCAACATCAAATCGCACGTATTCGATTTTCAAGTGAACAGTACATCTTTTTATTCTGTGGAGATCTTTATCTGCTTTTTTTTAGAGATGAATCGATTAAAATCTGAAAATACCGTCATCAGAAATCTTTTTCTCACTAAAGATTTAAGTTTCAACTAAAAAGGTGAAAATGGTAGTCTCTTTTAGTTTTATATTGAAAATACTTGAGGATACATATATGGGTTAATCCCGAAAATTTTTTGCATTACTGATATAAACTCTGGATGAGTAGATGGCAGCGATTTTGAATAAATATTAATTGCTTTTTCGAAACACTCTAAAGCTCGTTGATCATCATTGTCAATGACTGAATAAACTACACCAATATTCGACCATGTTTTACCAATTTGCGGATGTTTATCGCATGGTAATGTCGAATTTAATTGTACCTTAAGAGCTTTCTCGAAATACTCTAAAGCCTTCAAGTATTCGCCTTTACTAATACAAGTATTTCCTATAGCATTGAATGATATTGCCAAAGCCGGATGATTATTCGGAAATATCTTGTTACGTATCTGATATGCTTTGATATAGTGAGTAAGAGCTGAATCAATATTATTCAAAGCAAGAAGTATGTCGCCCATTGTGTGTAGATCATTGGATATAGACGGAAGCGGATCGTTCGCTATCGAGCACAGTTCCAATGCTTTTTGACAATAATCTAATGCTAATTTATAATTAGCCAGCTTTAAATGAAGAAGCGATAAATTTGTGTATGATGCACGAAAGTCAAGGTGATCAGTCAACGATGATTGTTTTCGTAGTTCATATGATTTTTCAATATATTCTTTAGCTTTTACATAATCACCTTCGTCAAGATAAACTAAACCATGCTGATTATATGTTGTTGGAATATCGGGACATGTCGTGGATGACGTTGTCTCTTGAGTTTTCAATGTTGTATTATAAAATATATGCGCCTCTTTATAATTACCATTTTCTCTACATGCCAATCCCATATACTTATAGACAGGAGCTACTAAAGGACTATCTGTTTTTAAACAAAGTTTAATAGCATGTTCAAAATTAGTTAATGCACACTGATAATCACCTTGTCTATGAGAACTAGTAGCAATGTTTAAATAGCATAGTATCAGCCAAGTATCGTCTGGTTCCATTGTAATAATGTACTTAAAAGTATCGGCAATGCATGTACTCGTGTAATTAGTTGTTGACGACGACGATAATGTTGGTAGACATGCGGTCAGTTTACGGCCAAGAAGTGTTTTATCCGATCGTTGAGCTGCTAAACGGCTGTCTAATGCTAATTTATAATATATAAGGGCATCTGCATAATTATCAACATCCCGATAGAGTGTACCTATCTCTGAATATGTTATAGATAATAAAGTAAAATAATCGTGTCCGAAAACGGGCATTGGTTTTAATGTGAATGTTGGCGATAAATATGATAACTGCATTTGTAGTAAAATTTTATAGTGATTCAATGCATTCTGATGTAAACCTTCGCTAATATACGACTCACCGATGTATTTATGTAATTCAGCAATATATAAATAAGTCGGTTTTTTACATTTTTGATAGATTTCTAGCGCTTTTTGATAATTATCTCGAGCTTGTTCGAAATCTTTTTTTTCACTATATGTTAACCCCAAATTTGTATAAGTAAATGCTAAACATAAATGATTATTCGGCATTGTTTTCAATATTATTTCAAGTGCCTTTCTGTAAAATTCAAAGCTTTATCAAACATGTTTAGTTTTTGATATATAAATCCAAGGTGAATGTATAATGATCTTAAAATTGAAGATCATTATACTTTAAGGTAATTTCTAATGATTTTTCATAAATCAGTCGAGCACGATCAAATGAACCACGTTCTACGAAATACAGTCCAACTTCTACGCAGATAAATGCGGACTGGAGTGTGTCTTTCCGACAAAATTCTTGCGCCTGTTTTGCATAAACTGACGCTTTTTGAAAATCATTTAAATGTTCGTAAATGAGTGCAATTTCTATGTATCTTGTTGGTAACAATGGATTAGTTCGATCAGCAAGAGCTTTTGTGTAATATGTTAAACACTGGTCGTAATCTTCTAAAGATTTGTATGATTGTCCGATACAGAAATTAGCATCAGATAATATGGCCATAGACTGATCACTAAGAACGAGTACCTTCTGGAATATTTCGATTGATTTTTGATAATCACCATTATTAAAGGCAATGTGGCCTAGGCCCTTGTACGCTTTCACAGTTTGATCAGAATTTGTATTTTCGTTGCTGGTACCCAAC